TTTTTATCATCATCACTAGTTAAACTATTAGGATTTGTACACAATCTATTAGGATAGAAGTATATTAAAGTACAATCGTCTGCAAATACTTCAGATGCACCAATACCAATTCCATCATATTCAAATGTACATTATTCTTTATCATTCTTTTTAGGATATTCAGGGTATTCGAATGTACTTTAGCAAGCGTTTTCTAAGAAATCGCAGCCTTTTCCTTTTCCCCAAAATATATTATCGGCCATATTCTCATTTACTTCAGGGTAAAAGCCTGTGTCTTTCAGAAGAGCGATTGTAAATATCGATAAAACACTATTAGTAAATACTTTAGTTCCTGTCATAATTTCATTATAAATAACAGTTCTTTCCCAATGAGAACCCATTGAACTATCTTTTTCCTTATTATATATTAATTTTTTTTAATAATTAATATATATATATTTTACATTGTTTTCAAATTACATTCCTTCAGCTGAACGACAATTATAATATTTTCTAGTAACTTCTACTATGTTTTTGGAAGTTAAAAGAATAGTTTTTTTTCCTCTATAAGTTTTTGTTATAAACAATTTAGTTTTAAATTCATTTCCATAATATTATCCAGTATTAGGATCTATCCAAAAGTACATACCGCCTCCTGAAAATCCAAGTACATGTAAAATTTCATGAATAGTTGTTTACAAATCTTCCTAGAAACTATTTTTATTAGCAATAGATTTATTAATATTTAATAAGTTAAAATTAATTCTTCCAAAAGTAGGTCTAGTATATCCTATATTAGAATAAGCACAAAATCCAGCATTTGCAACCGTTTAAGTAAATTATTTGCTATAACGGACGTATATGTGTAAATCCGATTTAGGAATTCCTTTTGTTTAATCATTATTAGAAACTATATGATCAATACATGTTCCTTTAAATATTTTAGGAAAGATGTTAATTTCACTTAATTAATATACTTTCAAAAGTCTTTAGAAATAAAGTATGGATGTTTCCATAAGATTTATCAAGTAGTTTTTTTATTATTCTGTTATTCCCTTATCAAATTAATTTAGCATGGTATAGTCTGTAGTTATTCTTATAGGCTAAGGCCCCTAACCTGCTTAAAGAATACGTTAGTCAATGTTTGATTTTTCCATTTTTTCATATGTTCTGTACATTTTCTCATAGTGATCTTGCATTTCTTTACTGTCATGACCACATTTACGGTAAGTATATATCAATTTACAAAATATCAATATACTTATTAAAATTTGTTTTTTAAACATTTTTATTATTTATTTATTCAATATTTCTTTCTATATTTTTTTCTTAATGATATAAAAGATAAATTTTTATAGAAAAGATTTTTATTTAATTTAAATTGAATTTTTTTTTCATATAAATTAAGATTTATGATAAATTCTGATTTCAATATATTAAAATTTATTTCAATTAAAATTAAATATTAAATCTAATTATTATTTTATAATATTTTTTAAAAAATAATAAATAATTTATATATATTAATGCCTTTTTTTTATTTAAAGAAAAAATAAATATTACTTTTTATATAATTAAGTTTCAAATTAGTATAAATTAATAAAAGTAAATAATTAATTTATTTTGTATAAATTTATAAAAGAAAATAATTTAATATATTTATTATAAAATTAAGAAATAAGTTAAATATAAAAAAGAAATATTTAAAAAAAGTATTTTAAAAATAAAAAAAATTTAATATTATTTTTATATATCTTTATTAATTTTTATCAATATAAAAAATATAAGTTTTTATATAAAAAAATAACTTATTATATTTAATAATCCTTTTTTTTATAAATTAAGAGATTTTGATTAATTAGATTTATATCAAATAAAAATTTAATATTAAATCTATTTATTATTTTTTTTAAAAAAAAAAATATATTATATATTATTTTTTGTATAAATATGTTTATTTACATTATAAATTTACAAAAGAAAACGAAATATTTTTTTATTATAAAATTATAGAAATTAATTAAATATAAACAATAAAAAGATATAAATATATATATATTTTTAAATAAAATATTTTTTTAATTAATGTTTTAATATTTTTTTTTAATATTATTTTTTTATTTATTATTGTATATTTATATTTTAAGGTTATTATAAAATAATTCATGATTTTATATTTTATATTTTAATTTTTTTTTATATATAAATTAAAAATAATTTATAATAGTAAATTTTTATATTATTTTTAATTAATAAAAAAATAATTTATTTTAATTAAAAATTAAGATTCTTATCATACAAATTATATTTATAATCAAAAATTTAATTCTTTTTAACATAGATATTTTTTATATTTATAATTTTAAGATTTCTGTTATTTGTAATTTATAATCATTGAAAGTAACATTGGTGTAATTTATAATTTTTTGAAATAATAATGATTAATATTGATTATGGATTATAAATATTTATTTATATATTATTTTTTTTTATTGAAAATTCTTGTGATATTCAATTATATAAATTTATATACGAATATTATTTAAATAAATATACAAATTATTTATATTTATGAGTATATTTTATAAAAAAGAAATTTAATTATTTAATTATAAGGATAATTTATATATTTATTAATAATTTTATACAAATTAAATTATTCTATTTTAAATAAATAATATTTTTTAATAATAATAATTATTATTTTTGAATTTTTTTTAATAATTGTAGTTGATTCTTATTAATCTAACCCAAATTTAAACTGATTTTTAATTGTGATAACATATTAATATAAGTAATCAAATTTTTTTATTATTATAGTTTATATTATTAAAAAATTTAGTTTATTTATTTTTTTAAATATTATAAAAATTTTTAAAAATTACTTTTATTTAGAGAATAATTAAATTATAATTGATTTTTTTAATAAAATATAAAAAGCTATTATTTATTTATTTATTTTTTTTAAAAAAATTACATATATTTCTCTTTTTTTATTTATATATATATAGTTAAATTTAAAAATATAAATTTATTTTTAAAAAAATTTAAGCTGCAAATTTTGTCAATAAACTTTTGCTTTTATTGTATTGTATTGAGTAAATATTCCTTTAAATCCATTTATAAATTATATGATTTTTCTAGGTTAAAATTTTATTTTTAATAAAATTTATTATAAAGCTTAAATGTAAACGAAATATTTATAAGTAGAATAGATTTTTAATTTATTTATATTTTTATATTAATATTAATTTTTATTAGTATTATTACTATATTTTAAAATCAACTAAACAAATATTTATTATTTTTCTTATTGTCATTAATAATTTAATAATTTTATAATAGTTTGGTAATTATTATAATAAATTTAAAAATTTATACTTAAAAGTCTAGTTTATTTTATAGTTTAATATGGTAAATAAAATAACTATTATTATTATATTTATCTATCAGATTTAGTTTTTTAATTAGTCTCTATTATATTCTTAGAAATATAGTCTTTAAGCAAATATTAATTATAGTTCTATACACCAATATCATTACTACTAAAACCATCATTATTCTTAAAGTTTTCGCTATATTTAAAAATTCAGACATTTAATTTGTCTATATTTATCTCTAAACCTCAAAAAAGATATGAATAACATATAAATTTAAAAAGAGCATTAAAAATAATATATACTCATATTTTAATAAAATAGTATATATAATTTATATATATTATATATATATATATATATATATATATATATATATATATATATTTTTGTGTTATTTACTTCGCTCCTAATTTGATCCTATTAATTTAGCTTTACGTTTCGCTTGTGAGGGAAATAAATTAGTAAGTATTGATGGTAGTTGAGTAAATGAATGTCCTGATGCTAGTTATTATTCTGATAGAATTAAAAAAAGTTTAAAATTTGATTTAATATGTTAAAAATATAATTATATGAAATCCCTTTTACAGAAAATACTGAAATAAAATACCCTTATTAATGTAATTAATATTCTTAATTTCGATAATGCTTTGAATTTTAAGTTTTTGTTATAATTATTCGGTTGATAATCCAAGTATTAAAATTATTAAATATCTTAATTGTACCATTAAATTCAAGTATTCTAGTTCTTTTACTTCAAATCGTTACTTAAAATGTGCTCCAGGATATCAATATTATTATTATAAAAATATATGAATTATGAGTAACTAAAGTTTATAATAATATTATTTACTTTAAATGATGCCCACTTTTAATTATAATGGAATGTGTTTTAAATTTTTAGATTATTTTTATAACATATAAATTATAAAAGTAATTTATGTTATGAATATAGTATTAAATTCAGAAATTATTTAACATGTAATTAAATTTAATGCACTTAATGCAATATAGATATAATTTAAATGATTCTATAAAATAATGTGAAAAAATTATGCCTTCTAAATTTATACTTTAGGCTTAAGGCGGAATTAATAATAGAATTTTTATTAATGAATTGTTATCTTATTCATTATATTTTATTTAGTTTTATATTTTTAAAATTTTGAAAAAAAGCAAATAAATAAAAAGATGATTTTTATATATTTTTTAAAAATATGGTGTGATGATTTAAAATATTGAAATATTTTTTTTAACTTTAGTAATTAATAAATTTCATTTTTTTTTTAATTTCTTATTTTAATTGTCTAGATTTTTTATTTTTTTATAAATAAATTTTATAATAGAATTAATAAGAGTATTATTATTTTTATATGGTTAGTCATAATATTATCAATAAAATTATTTATTATAATGTATATATTTAAAAAAATATTCAATTTATAATATATTTTATAATTTATTTTAAGAATAATTTTTAAATAAAAAAACTTTTTTAATTAATTATAATTTTTTATTTATTAATATAATTTTTTTTATCAAAATAAAAATAAATCTTTTTATTATTTTTTTAAAGATATTAAAATTTTTTAATATTAATATTGAAACTTAATTTATTAAATAAAATAATATTTATTTATATATTTTTTTAGATTTTTGTATTTGTATATTTATTATATTTATATTTATATTAATTTATTATTATTTAAAATAAATATTTTCTAGAAATATTTATTAAGTTTTTTAAATGTTTTATTCTCAGATTTTCGTTTTATAGAATTTTTTATTTTTTCAAATAAACCTTCATTTTAATTATTTTAGACTTGAAATATTCTATATTTATTAAATTATTTTTTAAAAAAAACAATTTGTTATTTACTTTTTATAATTAAAATAATAATATCCATTTTTTCTATATTTTAATATATTAAAAAGTATTTAATTTATGCAAAGCTAATATTTTAAAAAAATTTAATTAATCATTCATTTTATCTATTTAATTTTAAAATCTTAATATTATTTATTTTCATTTCCAGTAAAAAATATAAAAATTTGCTCTATTTTTATTTTTTTGTTAAACTTTATAATTGTATTATTTAAAATTTAATTTTTAAAAAATATTTTCTAATTAGTTTTAAAGAAAATGAAATGTTTTATTAATATTTTTTTAATTAACTTTTGTTATTTTATAATTTATATAATATTATATTAATTATGATTAAAATAATGTTAGTAAGTAAATTAATATTAAGTAAAACGATATATACTTTTAAATTTCATGTTATTTAAAACTAAAATTTTCCCATATTCTTATGAATCACATTTTATTATTTTCTGAATTGTTAATTAAATTTTTTAAAATATAATTTTTATTTTATTTATATATTATAATTTTATAAAGCAAACAGATTAACCTTATTTATAAAATTATTTATTAACTTTTTTAATAAAATGATTCATTTTAATAATAATTTATTTATTTAAAATAATTTATATAATTGATAATATAAGCTTTTTCATTTACAAATTCTATTTTCATCAAAATTATATAATATTATTATTTTTGGATATTTTATAAGAGTTTTTTGGCATTTAATTTTGTATTAATCATTATTATTAAATAAATTATTTTATTAAAATAAAAAAAAAATTATAAAACATTAATAATTAAATATCTTTAAACAATAATATTATAAATTATTAAAAAATTAATATATAAATTAGATTTAATCAATAAAAAAAATATATATTTTTAGAATTTCTATATAAAAATTTATTTTATTACTTCTAAATATAATTTATTTTTCATAATCAAATATATT